TATCACTACATCTACTATAGTACATAATATATAATTACAATTTATAGTATGAGTCATGTACATATAAATTATAATAATAATACTTATATATCAAGTTATAGTACTCAAAAAACTCGATTTCATTTTGCTATTTTGGAACCCGGATACACGGTTTTAATTTTGATTTGTTTAATGTTGATAAATATTTATTATTTATATAAGCTACCTTTAGGCTTTAATGATAACAATTAATATACTTATATAGTTATAAACCTACCTATAATTTATAAGTACTTTTTAGTTTTTACGTATATAAATGTTTGTTTTGATTTATTTATTAAAACTATTTGTAAATTATAATTTATAATGTATTATTTATTACGATAGACTCAAGATTATTATAGTTCTTTGGTAAACTAAAATGTATTTTAGGCTTCAAGTCGCTTTGCATTCCATTAGTCCATCTTAAATTTTAATATTCAATGCAAGTGTATATTTTTATAACGAATACTAACAACTAGGTTACGAATTTACGATACCCAACTGTGCCAGGGCCAGAAAATACTTGCTGTATAAGCCTATAATAAATTAATACCTAAATGTATATTATAATATTTTATATAATTATGTATACAATTTCGTCATCTAACTAACTGTTAAACTTTTTAAGTCTAGTTTATGATAGTAGTAAAGTGGTGTTGTAATTACTTAATATCTAATTACTAATTACTAATTAGTATAAGTTACCTAGTATTATGGAAGCGTCTTAATATTAAATACATGCTGCAGGAGAAACTACTTGTAAGTCGTAGTTATAACTATTAACTGTACATTGCCACATTGGTATTGTAAATTACGACGGTATGTCGGTATGCGTATGTCTGTGTAAAATTGTACAATGTGAATATTCCCCGAAACGTCGGTTAGGTAAAATCGGGTTTGTAAAGTCTGGTCACAGAATAAATTAAATTTCATTTATTCTGTGGCCCGGTTCCGGTCTGTGAGTGTGTTCAGGATGATTAAGGATGATTCACACAATCACACTTAATCGTCAGTACCTATATTGGTTAATAATTAATAATGACTTTAAAGTTAAATAGCCCAGCTTAGTGTTCTATACTGTGTTAGAATTACTTTATTTTTCGTTAATGCAGTAATATGGAAATAAATAGTTTTTATATTTTGAACGTAAACATGATAAGTGTTCTGCAGTATATATATTTTAAAAATGTTGAACCCCCAAATTTTTTTCAGTTACGGCCTTGAGCGTATTACATGTCAATTTTATGATTAGTATTTTTGTGTATTATTATCTTATGAATAATGATTGTAATTTGTAGAGTTTATAGCAAAATGTATAACAAATTTGCAAATTATAACTAATTTATTATATATACTGTGAAAAAGTGGTAATATGCTATAATTTTTAATTAAATATATACAACCTAAATAGAGCGTCAATGGACAACATTTACTTGTTAAATACAAATACAAATTAGATAACATTACAACATTTTGACCATTTTATTTTTTAAATTATAATATAGTCAGGGGCAAAACTTAGGTCCTGTAGGTTGTGGGTGTAAACCAGATTAAAGACTATATTATTATGTAATCGTATAACGAACAATTATTAACTACTATTATAATGATATATAGTTAGGTGAATACATATTTCTATATAATGCATGTACATCGTACCATTTACTGATTTACATCCAAATATGCCAATAAAACTTAATTTTTTATATAAAAATATTTTTACTCCGATGTTCGATAGTGGATTGCCATTTGCTAATATTATGTAACTTATTTATGTTAAATAAATTATGTACATTTAATGATAAATACCAATATAACATTTATTTGGTAGGTAGTACTATATTTAATTTTAGAAGTGCAACATCTTAACAATAATAATTTAAAGAGGATTGCTTAAATGTAACTTGTAACTTAACAATTTTGTGAAAAAGAGGTAGATCTAACTAACATAACCTAGGCTATATTTAAATATAATAAATTATAATACTTATGTCGTATGCAGTTCACTATTAGTTATTACTGAAATAATGAATATATGAATCAAATTATTTTCTAATGATCAACTTAGTAATAAGTTTATTATGTTATAAAATATATATTCCAAACGATCCAAACTACCATTAACATATAATAAAGACACTAGTACAAAATAATATATCATACCTATTATATGTATATTTAAATGTCTCTGGTTAATACTTATAACACGACCTAGGGTATATGGTATACAGGCATACAGCAAACGTTACAGTAGGTAAATTAATATAAATGTATATATTTTTGTTAATATTTATGTTCTTACCAAATATATTATTTCAAGATGCTAATGCTTACCTCGGCGCGTAAGCGTTTTAAAGGCAATTCAAAATACGCAACTTTACTTCATACTTATATCCACACGATTACACATTACATTTTACAAATTATAATACACACGAATTACGCATCTACCTTCGAGCGGTTATTATAGGTGTGTAATGAAGTATTGAAAAAGGGAAGGTGAATAGATGACGGCGATCGGACGAAAAAGAAAATCACATGCACTGTGTGCCTTGATGTATATAATGAAATATATTATTATTATTGTTGTGCATCATACAATTTTAAATGTAGTAATTTGTAATTATGGGAATAATTAGGATATTGAAATTATACAAAGTCTAAAGCCCTACAACGGCAATTTGAAAAAAATCACACACAGAGGGATTGTTTCTTTTATGATAATAATTACAATTTTCTTACCTCAGAGTACGTAAATAAAAAAGTACTTAAACTATAAACTATTACAGTATTACCTAACATTATTTATTAAATTTCAAAACATTTAATAAAAACATTTCAAATTTACAAATGTATGATAAATATTACAATATTGATAATTACTACCCGTAATCTTTAATAGAATATAATACTTTTTATAATTGCAACTTGCAAATAAATATGAAACCGCCTAAGGTCAGAAAACATTTTTCATATAGATATCTATAATCTATGTTATTGTCGCTAAGTCACTTTTAATTGTGGATGATCAATGTTTCCCGATATCAAAAAAGTCTCTAAATATATCATGTACCTACTTATAATTATAGTAGTTATATCTTTCTAATGCACGATAAATATCGTTTACTTCACTTGCAGGAACAGTATAGCGATTAGCGAGCGCCGGGACGACGGGAAATTTCCCGTTTGCTTGTCATCACTCGTGTTCATGGATGGCCTGCAGACTATAGGTATAAAAATCCATTTTTTTGGTTAAATCTTCATGGACAGCCTATACAATTTCTCGGCTTGAAATATCACCCCGATCCACCCCAGTTCACTGGTTGATTGAAAACAATTATATTTATGTACAATGTTCTAAATTTATACGAGATGGAGGGCTGAGATTGTGTATAATACAGATTGTGCATCCTGCAAGAATACCTACTGCTGAACTCGACAGGCGATATTTCTTATTTGTGGCTAGAATGTAACGCAAGGTGCATGCAATGCATGTTTACCGTATACGCATCATTGGCATCATCCGCCTTGGCAAGGGGTGACAATCACACGATGGGACTCTATCCATGCATAGTATTTGCCATTATTTCATGAAGGTATTGACTTATGCAATTTCATAGTGTCATATGGATATGGTAAAAAAGGTTTTGAATATTATAATATAGCGCGTGTAATGGTTTAAAAGACGATAATGCCCCACACAAATATTATAATATAGTCGGCTATAGTAAAGTACATCGATGAGTTTTGCTCGGTCTGGCGAATACCGGAATACATAATAATGAAATAATATATACCGAAATGACGCCACCGTTGCAGTCGTAAGTATTACCTGTGCAGTTACGTTGCGCACACGCATCCGCGTAGATTTATAATAATATGTATTATTATTATAATAATGGTCGTCGTGTCTGGTGTCTGTCGCCGTCCACAATAAATAAATAATAAAACGCCGGTGGTGGTGACCGGTGGTGGTGGTGGTTGCGAGTGTTACGACGTGGTCGGTGCAGTGTGCGTGTGTGTGTGCACCGGTCGCTGAGAGACCTGTTGGGGGGCATTGTTCAAAACGGCTTCAAGGTCGTTTTGACTATACAATCCCGACGAGATTTGGCAATGCCGCTTTTGTGTACGACGGCTGCGACGACGATCGGCCCCGAACGAATACATAACACATACCTATCTACGACGATGATAATAATAATAATAATAATAATAATAGAAATATTATGATAAAAATGATAAAATTTGAATAGTTGATAATATGGCCGTTGTCGAACCGTGTCCCCCACATACATAATATACGACACTTCGCAGTTCACACTTATTAAAGCTTGATTGATAGAAACGGCAGCGTATCTCGGCGATTTACATTCCGTAAATTATTATAATTATTATAGTTGCACAATTTATGTATATTTATAGTTTAAAATAGTGATAACAGTAAACGTTTACAATTCGGGTAGGTATTGTCATTTGTTAAACTAAAGTATGTACTGTTCCAATACTTATTTTTTTATGAATGAACTAAACTAATAAACGAGATGATGGGCATCTTTGAAGGTCCTACAGAAGTACTCCTGTCTCCTTTAATAGTCATAGGTATACTCGTACCTAGGTAGTAGGTTTAAGATTCTGGGGAGTACTGCAGGCTGCACTGCACCCCTCACCAATACTGAACGTACAGAAACCACACCCCACCACATGTCCACATTTATATACCATAATACCGTATTACCATCAGTCATTTTCTATTCTGAGCGAAGCAATATTGGTCTTACGATTGTCAGGGGGTGCTGACCCACGCCCTAGCTGCACCACTGCCCCTAGTAGGTATCCGCCCTAGAGGTAAGTGGTCACGAAGTACGAGGCACGTGAAATGACGAGAAGCGCCGAGCAACCCGCGACTATACGTCGTGTCGTCGTCACTGACGGAGCGGTCCGCACGAGTTATTATCAAAAATAAAAAAATCGCTGCGTACTCGGTGCCGCTATCAGCTGCGGCCTGCGGTGATTCAGATTTCAGTGATTGAGCGAGCGAGCGGTGTTTTTGTAATTTTGTCCCCCGCCATTTCGCCCCGAGAACCAGTGGGGCGCACGCGCGTTCGTCCGTTGTGCGTGTGTGCGCGACCGAGAGAGCGAGTGCGTGTGCGTCGATGTGTGTGAGTGTGTGTTGTGTGTTGTGTGAGTGTGTGTGCGTGTGACTGTGTGAGTGTGACTGCGCGCGTATGTACGCGAAGTGTCTCGTGCGAGGCCGTCCGCGCTTATCTCGTCAAAGGTTGTTGTTCCGTCCGTTTCGTCCGTCAACGGGAAGAACCACGTACGACATAAAAAATAATCGCAGTCCGAGTTCCGGTGTGCAGTTAGTGCTCCGTTTTTTTTTTTTTTTTACAAATACTCGCGTGTCCGGCGATTTCCGTGCACCGATAACATATATGTTTTGAACGGACCGGAACCAACTATGGAAGCCACGGCCAAGCACGACTTCAAAGCCACGGCGCCCGACGAACTGAGCTTCAAAAAGGGTAGCTTGCTCAGGGTGAGTTAGTCTGGTGAACTCGGCCTTGGGGGTTTGAGGGGGTCAGAGTGATGGACGAATGTGGGCAGTTTGGATGGTTAGGGATGGCCCTTGTGCCGCCGCCGGGTATCTGCCACTGTACATGTACAAGGCACCTGACTGATTCAAATTGTTTTTACAGGTGATCAACATGGAAGACGATGTCAATTGGTTTCGGGCCGAGTTCGAGGGGAAAGAGGGACTGATACCTAGCAATTATATAGAAATGAAAAATCATGAGTGAGTGGCGCCCACTTTGGGTTTCTATGTCTTTATAATAAAATCATTCACGCCTAGGTGTTACTAATGTTTGTCATTCCTTGTTTTCTTGTAGTTGGTACTATGGGAAAATCACTCGAGCAGACGCCGAGAAATTATTAGACCAACAGCCTGAGGGTTGTTTTTTGGTACGAATAAGTGAGAGTTCACCTGGAGATTTTTCACTATCCGTCAAGTGAGCAAAGATATTCCATGATACAATACCTACCTATAGTATTTACAAACTTTTCTGTATTGTGTCCTTGAACTCCTATAATAATTTGTATTTTTTGAAAATGTGTTTTATATGTTGTAATGTAATAATTTTCAATAATAGATGTGGTGATGGTGTCCAACATTTCAAAGTTTTACGAGATGCACAGGCAAAATTCTTCCTGTGGGTGGTGAAATTTGATAGTTTAAATGAACTAGTTGATTATCATCGAGAGTCATCTGTGTCCCGTTCCCAAGATGTTAGGCTTAGGGACATGCCAGCAGCAACTCAAAATGGATTTAACCAAAAACCGGTATTTATTATTTATGTCTATGATATATTATCAACTGGGTCAATTGTAGGTACATATTAATAAATAACAAATATGTCTTTTGCGGTTTTACAGACTCTGGTAATTGGCATGTATGACTTTACTCCTCAAGAAGATGGAGAATTAGCATTCAAAAGAGGAGATGTTATAACTGTGACAAATCGCACTGATGTAAATTGGTGGCGAGGTGAGATTGGCACCAGAGAAGGACTGTTTCCCGCTGCGTATGTTTCTCCTTATCATGCCCCTTAATCTACAGTGTTTTTCATTATATTGGATGTATTTACTACTATATGAAACGTTTATTTACTACGGTAGAGAACATGTGACAACAAAATAGACTTAACAATTCTAGATTTTTCCTTTGAGATCAGATTATTGCAATAAAAAAAAGTCAATAATTATTTAAATAATTAAATCTGTTTAGGTTTTCCAAGTTTTGTTATTAATTAATTCATTGATATATTAACTTAATTTTTTTTGCTTACCCATTAATTTTTGTTCATTATTAATATGTACGAGGTTAATACACTATGAATCAAAATAATAAAATGTTACCTACCATTCAGACTTAGCAATTGTTTTAAAAAGGTATTTTTTACTATTTAGAATATACCTAAAAACCATTTAGACATGTGATAACCATTGTGTAAGAAACATTAGTTTTCATGTTTGATAAATTGTTGTAATCATGCAAAAAGTTATCAAGTATAAATTAAAATCTTAGGAGGACGCTACCATATGCGTAATTTGGAGTGGGGTTAAACCTTCTTAGCTCCATAAAAACATGCAGCTTTTTAGTTGTGTGGCATCAAAGCCCCCACTCATATTAATGTTAAAAATGTTAACCACCATGAAATTTTAATGTATTTGCTCCTATGGACGCTGCTACCCATCCATTGTCTATATCTTAGAACATGTTGACACCAATTTTTTGTTCACTAGTTTCAATAGTATGCTGTTGTTCATTTTGATATTAGAGCAAATCCCATTATCAAACTTTATTAAGAACATTATCTGTATTCTGTGCTTAAACGTTGGCTTTTCTTCTATATTTTAAGCGATATATCATTATGACCTTTTTTTAATTTATGATATTTCACATACTCATATTATCAAAAAAAAATCACCAACACTTAAGCAGAGATAATTTTCTTATCTAAATATTAGGTCAATCCACTCTTAAACAGGGGGTGAATCGCTAGGGGGACCCTGAGTTTGGTCACACAACCTAAATGTAATAGAATCAAACATGTTTGATTGTCAGTCGTGAGATACAAGCAAAGGTATTGTAACGTGTTGCACCCCAATTTATGACCCGTGGAACCTTACTTAATATCAAAACTAAAACTCCATTATTGAAACTATTGAACAGAATTTGGTTGGTCATACTCTTGTATGTTGGAGACAACAAACGCGTAGCGTCTTCTTAATAATTTTTACTCTATCACTTGTTGCATGAAAGCGAAAATATGTTTGTTCATTTATAGACCTTTTTTTTGGAATTTATAATTTTGATTTTTATGTATGAGATTTTTGCTCGCATGCTTACTATGTATATCCATGCATTTAAATCGTAAACATTGCTTTGATAACCTGCTATTATTTATAATATATGATAATAGTTCTGAATATTATGATTAATATAAAACATTAAAATAAAATACCATTGAACAATAAGTCAATAAACAGAAGTATAGGTTAAATGTTCATAAAAATTAAAGTTACAATAAAACAGTATCCTTTTTTTCATCCAAACATCAAATATTATTATTTATTATAATTCTTAAATTTGTATGAAAGTTCAATTTAGTGAAATCTATCTAAAATGTATGTTATTAACAAATTGTTATGAAAGTGGTTCTTCATCTCTATTAATATTTTATTTGTTAATTGAATAGATTTGTATTAATTTTAGATAGATTTCACTTAATCATTTGTGTATACTATTATATTTAAATTAGGAATATTAAATTTAGTACAAGTTGATGATTTGTTCTGTGTTTTTTTTTTTACCGTTTATACTATCAGTTCTTTATGGAATTAAATTTATAAATATTATATGATGTAAACTATATTTTTAATGATTGCATTTAAATAAGGAAATATTTTTTATCAAATGTATTTCCATGTTAATGTCTTATTTTTTATTTTTAAGTTGAATACACAAGTATAACGACATTTAGAAACACAGAACTTTTATGTTTTTCTTCTTACAATTTATAAAAATCGCTCAATTCCTTTGTCTGTATCAAATAATTGTTTTTTAATATTTGAAATATTTCAAACAAATATCTGTTTAGTTATTTATTTGTTGAACTTGACTTGTACTTGGATCAATTATTATATATTGTGCTTAACAAATTTTCAGTCATATCGAACAATTATTTTAGTTTTGATTTTAAATTAAACAATACAATGTCAATTTGTGATATAAAATAATATTAAAACTCCTTACTTTACCTATCTTATATATTTCTTTGTTGTAGATTGAGATTATTTGTTTTTTTTTACTAATTTGTCTATATTTAAGTATAAATTCTCCCCGACATATAACATATTCATAAAGGTAAGACTCCATTGTTAATTGCCTACACATGAATATTTTCTCGCATACTATGATATAATTTTTTTTTTTTACTAGGTACTTATAGAAATTTTATTTTTTATTATTTATTTAAGTAAAATAAATTGTGAAAAAATATATATGTTAGTCATAGTGATTAAAGACTCTTATAGTTTGAAATAGTGAAATAATGTCCATAAAGTATATTAGTCTATTAATCTATTATATACATACATATATATATAAATACTTACATGTATTAAATAACTAAATAAGTGTCTTTTTCCCTATCTTATACATTTATTAAATTAAAAATATTTTTGTGCCACGATCAATATTATATTATTTTATATTGTAAATAGTTACACTGAAATAATTCATAAATCATTTTACCTACATATATAATTTTCTTTTCCAGTAATACCTTACATTATCTGATGGCGTTGAAGTAAGTAATATTTTATCAACGATTATCTATGATAGAAATAAATACTTTAAAAAAACTATTTTAAATCTAAGTAAACTATTGAAAAATCAAAAAGATAATTTCAATATATTTTTTTTAAATTTCATTCAATTTTTTAAGACATGTTGAAATTGTATTCTTACATAATGATTATGTTCTTATATTTTAGTTATTATTTTGTGTCTTAAACATCCCTTATAATATTTGTAATAATAACATAGTATAAAATCGGTGGTGATATTATATTATTATTACATTTATATATTTCATTTTTAACTATTGAAGTTCGTTATTTGGATACAAGAAAATTAAAATATCAGGTTTCCAATACAATATTGATAGATTGTAAATTCAATTTTATAAAATCAAAATTCAGTAATGGAGTGATTGATATAGAGTTTTCCTATTTCCATATGAAAAAAGCGGGTAAGTGGACGTCGCTGTAATGGATGGTAATTTGAACTCAATAATAAAATATTGTATACGAAAAACGATTCTGAGCTGAGACGGAATGCCAGTTTAGGATAATTTATACTGTTATTATTACTTATTTATATGGTAGCCGGTAAGTTGAATTAATATTACTTTTGGATATGAATTACAAAAAAAAATGACTAAAATCGTTATTCTTGGTGTTAGTATGCAATTTCGTCTAAATTTAAACTCAAAATAACTAAAAAAAAAAAGCTGTGTTTATGTTTATTTTTATATTTTTTTGGTTACGGAATTAACTACTTACGTAGAACCTTGTTTTAAATTTTCAATCCTTAGCTAAAAAAAAGTTGAGGGCGATGGTAAATTCCACCGACACTTTTTTTACCTGAAAAAAATATGTAAATTCCACCGGTACGTATTTTTGACCTGAAAACATTTAACATGTTAACTCCACAGACTACTATACTATATCGCGAAACGAATACATTCCATAAAATATTTTTGAAAGCATATTTTAGTTCGTGAGTTTGTCCGTTGATTTCAAAATGAATACATTAACCGAAAAAATCAGTGAACTTGGCCAAGTTTTGCTTTGCTTAAATAGTTGTAAGTTTTATAAAAAGTCGCACTTTTGCGGTCCGCTATTTAGATGATATATCACATTCACATCATATCACTGCAGTCTGCAGGTATACCTCAAGGTATCATCTTAGCTCCGACTCTCTATAACATCTTCACCTCGGATAAACCTCACTCCTACGACACTTTTATTGCCCACATTCGCCGGTGACACTGCTATAATCTCCTCCCACTCTGACCCCGATCAGTCCTCCAAACGACTCCAGCCTCCAGGATCATCTGATACAACTCCAAAGTTGGTTCCGCCTCTGGAGAATAAAAATTAACGAATCCAAATCTAGCCACATAACCTTCACTCTACGCTCTATTAACAGTCATCCCCTATCCATCAACAACAACATAATCCCTCAAAAAGACAATGTTAAATACCTAGGCATCCACCTTGACAAAAAACTAAATTGGTTAAACCATATAAAAATTAAACGTAAATCTTTAAATTTACGTCTTCATTCTCTTAGAAATCTATTATACGCTCCAAAATATTTCACTTAGAACCAAAATTCTAATGTATAAACAAGTTAAAAGACCAGCCATGACCTACGGCATTCAAATTTGGGGAGCAGCTAAAAAATCAAATATTAATACACCCCAATCCTTCTAGTCTATAAGCTTACGCGTCATCACAGGTGCCCCTTGGTTCGTCAGCAATCAGTCCCTCCATAATGACCTGAAAATCTTAACTCTTCCTGAATTAGCTTCTCGATCCTACAAAAAACTACACACAGCCATAATTAACCATCAAAATCCACTTATCTCCAATCTCCACTCTTTAACTAACCCTATAAATCCACTACGTCGATTAAAACAACGTTGGCCCAGAGATCTACTAAACTAAATTAACATTCTGATGAGTAGAATGACTTTTTGAAGTGGTGTCAATGGACGCCCCCTTCTCTCAAGCCTTCATGTTCTTTTCGTTTTCGTTTAAGCTTTCATAATTTACTTATTGTATTATGTTATGTATACAGATTGTAAATATTTATTTAATAAAAAAAAAAAAGTTTTATAAACAAATACTCTTAAAGTCTGGTGGAGAAAAGTGATGTGAAAACAAAAAGTGTACCACGGTTTTAAAAACGATTAATTCTGGAAAAAATCAAACAATAACTTTCCAACGATCACTACATACTCACAAAGCATAAACCGAAAATACACTACAACGGCAAATATTAAGTACTGGTGCAAAACGAAGGGCGATAGAGGACAATTGTAAAGCACCAAGAAAAATAATCAAACCCACGATGGATTAAAATTCATTAGATAGATGTAATAGTCAAATACAGGTTAGAGATGTGAACTATGCC